ATCTAGAAAAAGAGATCGCAACAGAAGGATAGTATCCGTGTCGTTTCGCAACACTACTTATCTTGCCAACAATGTTATGAAGAGATGCCTACTACTACCTCTCGCACAATCAGATATATCTTCATTAAAACTACCACATATTCTTCTCCCAATTCTTCTGGGTCCAAATCTATCAATTGTCCTATCAATGGGTGCATTAAATCCTTTATTCGTTATGGCAATTTTTCAAGGCATATTCAATCTTGTAAATTAAAAAAGTCTTCGTAAGGAATCTGCTTGTGATGATATAATTGTTATGGATTTTGCAGTAAAAGGTTCATTGCGACAAAATCTGGTACAAGTATCACAATTGAAATGGAAATATAAATTGAACATATTGCACAGTATAACTTTGGATCTTGAGTCAATTCACTCGCAAGAACTCGTTCACAGATGTTTATGCAGTGGAAACATTTGCAAAGTTATGCTTTGTATAACGCATACATCACTGATCTTAGACTTTGTAGAAAAGTAAAGGAAAGAAAAATTTTTGGAGTTCTATCGTATATAGTACTAGAAGTTTTGATGGGTCAACCGTACACGCAATCATTCGATATTTACAGTCTTGGAGTTATTGTAACTGAGATTTCGACCGAACTAAGAGCATTTGGTGGAATTCCGCTTAATGGTGATCTTGCATTAAAAATTATCGATGAATCAAGACCTAAATGTTTAGGTCCAGATTATAATATTAAATTAACTATGAAATTTAAGGATAAAGAGTTTGATAAACGACCTACTGCAACAGAAATTATTGAAATAATCACATGAAGTTGATCAGAAAAATGATAACGAAATCAAAAAATAATTTTTGGAGGCTGGTAAGATTAAACTAGAATTGATTAAACAAATTCTCCTCGAGACCTGTATACTAGCCGGCTATATAATACACAAAAATTTTCAAGTTAACCAATAAATCAAATTAGTTTTGATAATATCTTTGGCTCCATATCATTGAAAATTGAGCCAAATAACGAAATCCTTTATGTGCTGTGAATTAACAAAACCTGATATTACCATTAAGTATAGGAATATAGATTCGGATTTTGTGTTTGTCTACGCAACTCTCATCCAAGAAACAGTTGCAATTGAACGAATAATTTCATTGTTCATTGAGCAAAAAGATAATATAGAAAAATTGCTAAATTCACATCCTATCTATGCTATGCTTTTTGACCTAACTTTCAACACGATTATTCTGTGCCATATATTGCCTGCTGGGTTGCCAATCCTCTTGATAGTGTTAATTAAACAACTTACAGCTTTATTTGATAACCAATTTGTAATTATTAATCGTGTAGTTGAAAAGCAGAATGAAGCATCAAATGACAATAATAGAGATGTAATCAATAATGAAAGAATTTCGAATAAATGTAGTCAAAGAAATGGTGATGGAAATAAAAATGATGGAAATAAAAACAGTGATATAAATAAAAGTAGTGATAAATGACAATAATAGAGAAAAAAATAATGAAGATAATGAACATAATAGAAAAAATGAAAATAATAGAAATAAAAATAATGAAAATGAGAAAAATAAAGATGAAGATGGCGGTGGAGATGGTGGTAAAAAAGATAGTGACATAGATATTCTATATATCCAAGTTAAGTCTGTAGCGAATGTCAAAGTTGAAGAAAAAATTTAAAGTTTTACCATAAATACCATTATCAACGCTAATATTAGTAATGAAACACGTCTATCTGAAAAGATGCTGGAGTTTAATATTGATTTTATTTTTTGTGGAGCAGGACAAATGCTCAATGAAGTTTGTGAATCACTTCAGGACTTTATCGGCTATTACCTTGATTCTATTTTAATTGAAGTTCATCCAACTTCTGATTACAATGTTGCAATTAATATATTTGATGAAGCAAAGCCATATAGTCCACAGAATTACAATCAAGAAATAGAAACTACTGAAGATCATGTTGGTGGCCAAATAAATTTTACAACACCAAGCATTACAGCAAGCAGTAGTAATAAAAATAATTATAGCACAAAGTCAATGGCTAATAAATGGAAAATGAGATTGAATGCCTGCCCAACTAATGGAGTTAAATGGTCATATATGTATGTTATAAAGACTGAATCTGATTGGGAATGGCCAACACCATGCCCCCATTCTGGCTATTGGTATACTAAAGAGATGTTAAAAGGATTTCGAATTACTATTACTCAGATATAATGTTGCAAGTTCAAATTACTATTACTCAGATATAATGTTGCAAGTTCAAATTCTGGTTCTTTAGACTTGATAAAATACTAGAAATAATCTAAAAATGTTCTAAAGTTTTTTATAAGCTAGAGATTTCTTTCAATAATTTAACAAAAGTTAACTATATGATTAATTTCTATAAAATTTAATTCTATAGATTTATAGAATTTAATAAAAAAAATTTCATTGAACTTGGCTAGGTAATTATAAAGATATCTTTACTCAAAGTTGAAAAATATTAAAACATCAAAATAGAAGCCATACTAACTTTTTAAAAATTTGAGTAAAGATATCTTCACAACTACTTGTCCAAATTCAAAAAAAAAAATTTTATTTGAATTTTATTAATTTATAGAATCAAAATAATTTTTTTTATTAAACTTAGTTGGGTAAGTATAAAGATATCTTTACTCAAAGTTAGAGAAAAAAATTAAAACACTTATTTAAAATAAAAGCTATACTAATCTTTTAAAAACTTTAAATGAAGATATCTTTACAACCAAATATCTAACTTATAAATTTTTTATTTAAATTCTATAAATTTATAAAATTTAAATAAAAAAATTTTAATGAATTTAATTAGATATGTAGTTGTAAAGATATCTTTGCTTCAATTTAGAGAAAAATTAATTTTATAAATTTATAGAATTCGAATAAAAATTTTTATTGAGTTTGAACAGGTAGTTGTAGAGATAACTTCATTAAAAAAATTAGTATCTTTTGTTTTAATAGTTAATTTAATTTTTCTTCAACTTGGAGAAAAATATTTTTATAACTACTTAATTGCTGATCCGGATAAGATCGGCACAATTTCTATATTAGAATTTGGGGCAAAATCTCTATGATGTTAACTATA